CGATGGCAGTTACTCCAGCGCATGGTGCAAGACATTTGGAAACGTTGGCATTTGGAGTACCTGAGCCAACTACAAAATAGACCAAAATGGACAGAAAAAAGAAGAAACCTGCAGTACAATGATTTAGTTCTTGTCAAAGAAAAGAATATACCACCTACAAAGTGGATTTTGGCTAGAATTATAAGAACTCACCCTGGTAAGGATGGACATGTCAGAGTTGTCGACATAAAAACAAAGGACGGAATATTTACTCGAAACATCAATCAGCTATGTAGATTGCCTGAAAACTCAAGTAATCTTGAAATCTAGGGATTTCAAGGTGGGCAGAATGGATGGTGGAGTGATGGATGTTGCCACCCCGCGGATATTATGTTTTTTTTGTTATTTTCTCATATATTTATGTTTTACAAATTTATTATTGTTTAAATACTCCATAATTTCACTTATCTAGTTTTTTTTATACATTTTTTCTGCAACTGTAATTACTTAAATTAATAAATATGTATCATAACTCTCGTGAGAAGAGACGAGAACGAGAGCGTTTGATGAACGCTAGTTCGAAGCAAAGTTTGTCCTGTCTCTTTTTAGCAAAAACAGAAGCATAAACATAAAGATCATTTATTACATAACAGATATAATGAATAAAATATCTAATTATTCTTAATATAATGTTTTACTATATCGCCCCCAGAAAATTGAAAATCGCCCCCCAAAATATAAATTGTTACTAATCGCCCCCCAACATGGAAAAATCGCCCACCTGGAGGCGATATCGCCCCCGTTGAGAAACACTGGTATAGATGAACAAAATCGCGCCCCCACACACAAACTAACGTGTATGTGTGTGGGGGCGCGATTTTGTTTATCTACACATACAGAAATTTTAAAAAGTATTTATAAAAAGATTTTAAAAATATTGTATTTTATTATTTCCAATATAATTCCATTTAAAATAGAATAAATTTCATTTTTTGAACAATAAAAATAGAATAAAAAAAAATATACGTTTCAATAGAATTATGTTCGATAAACGGAGTTTCAAATCTTTTAGAAGACAAGTAGAAGAAATTTCACGATGTGGTTCATTTGTATGATTCTTCTGTATTGTTTCTTCCTTCCAGTAAACTGTTCGAAAAGTGGATTGTTTCTTCTTTCCAGTGACCAGTTCGAAAGTAGAGAGATATCCAAAGAGGAATATTTCAATAACAGTTCTATAGTGAAGGAAATTAAAAAAATATATAAACGTTCCAGTAAAAAGTATGGTTTCACGGAAGACGAACGAAGTGATATTTTAAATTTGATTAATTTCTATAGAAATAACACTAAACCAATGGCTGCCAATATGATGAAATTGGTTTGTAAAACATAAAACGTTAACGTTCTTTATATAATTTTTTTTTAAAAACTAGAATATTTTATACATTTATCATGAATAACTTCAAATAGATTTTAAGATTAATTAAAATAGAAAACAATTTACAGTAAAATTAAGTTTTACTTTCCTGGCTGGGTCAATCTTTACCTATGTGCACCGTCATGGCAGCGGTCGCGACTGTTCGTGCTCCCGACGGACATGAATTGATACATACTAGTTATTGATACGTGTGTTCAAGAACTATCGTGAATCAATCACTAGTGACGTTAAACAATCGGCGGCTCTCCTCTAGAAGAAGTCTGTCGGGAGCACGAACAGTCGGGACCCACAATGGCGACTGCATGGTAAAAGTACGGGCCCAACGAATCCGTGTTCTTCATTGTTTACATGAAATTCTTTTCTAGGAATGGAGTGACACTTTAGCAAATTTAGCTAAGTTGTGGTCCGATCGATGCAATGTAGACGAAAGTAGTGGCCCTGCTGGATGTTTACACAAAATCAATCAGAATGTATACATCGGATACGAACCATTCGAGACTATTTTACAAATTTGGAACGGGGAATCTCAACATTATAATTACTCTAATGCTACATGCGATAAAAACAGCAATTGTGATAAATATCTTACTGTAAGAATTGCAAGATACTTAAATATAAATTTAAGAATATATTATGAACTATTCTATAATATAACTATTCATTCAGATGATTTCGGCTGATGTTCGTTTCGTTGGCTGTTCGCTAACAGATTGTTTGAAAACTGGTTTTAAATTTATGATGGTTTGCAACTATTTTCCAAAGTAATTTATTAAATTATTTATACAGTCGGCCCCCCTATAACACTGTCGATTATTCCGTTTTATATGAATTCCACGTTGTACGAGTCACTTAGATTTTACAAATACGTGAGCCGTTCACAGAACGGCACACGTATTTTAAGTGACTCGTACAACATGGAATTCATACAAAACGGAATTATCAACAGTGTTATAGGGGATCGACTGTATTTAACGAATCTGTAAAATAATATATTCATGATTACTCTTTGTATACAGAATCAATATTCGAGGGAAAGCACCTTATCAATCAGGTGAAGCTTGTAGTAAATGTAATGGTAGTAGATGTGAAAATAGTTTATGTGGTTAGTAATTATAACTTTATTTACATTTTTTCTAGATATTTATATAAATTTATAATTTTTTTTATATTATTAGTGAATAAAGATATGCAATTACCATCAGATCTTAAGACTTGTGGTAAGTATTTAAGAAAGAAATCAAGATTTAATACATGTTATTTGAACGTTTATAACTTTAATATGTATATTTTTATTAATTTTTAGCTGGATGTATACAGCAAATTAATATATCGGTAATAATTATAATAGAATTAATATGTTTATTATTATTTTGAAGAATTGTTTTACAATGTGTCATAGCTGAAAGTTTTTCATTATTGTGATTTACATTGTAAATAATAAAAATAATTATTCTCACATTTGGGTTGATGTATTGTATATGTTATTGTAATCGCATAATGACTGTGGTTTGGCTTTTTGGGATTCGGCAGCTCAACACATGGATGACCCATGGCGATGTCTCACAAGAGGACTGTTTTATGGGAAAATAGCACCCTAATTTGGTATTAGAAACCGGAAGATAACCTGGAAAATTCTGTTCAGAAGTTACTTCGGCTATGACCCCAAAACTCGGACGTGACCCAAAGTCTTGGATTTGACAGAAGGATGATTCTGCAATGGGCTTTCGAAGAAAAGAATCATTTCCTTCCGACTTTTGTGTATTAATTATGGACGGTTGTTTTCTTCAACGTGTTTGTGACTTTATGAATAGGCTAGACTGAATTTTAAACTCTTCAGAAAACAGACTGGAATTTATATGAATCTCAATGGCTGATGCTTTGCTAAAACCATAGCTTGTATATATATTTTAACATTGATATATAAAACTACAATTTAATTATTAAGTTATAAATATTTATATGCTACAACTATTATAAATATCAAAATATCGATATTTTCTTGAGATAATTCGAGAATTGCCGGACACATAAAGACTAAATTTTGAGAATCTTCTGTCCAGGATTTGGACCAAATGGAGTTGTTGACACTTCATCTGGACCCGATCATCATTAACATAAAAAATTTTTCAGTTTATTTTAGGAATATTTTAATCACGCAAAAATAAAAAAAATATTTACAAATATTTCATTAATACATATGAATAGATAAATGAGTTTACTTATTAACTAATGTTAATGAACATTTAATAAATGACATTTCAGTTTTAATTGTAATTAAAACTAACAACTGTAAAGATTAAATTAATTAAAACTAATAAATAAGAAATTTTAGTATTTATGCAAGATTTAATACACGAATTATTATGCCCATAATAAATAACTCCATTTTGGCATCATTGCCATACATCAAACCGGTTGCAGATGCTGAAAAATAAAAGAAATATTTAAAATTCAAACGTTTATTTAAAAAAAAAATTAATTTTTTTTCAAATATAAGCTTAAACTATAGCACAAGTATAATAAATACAGAATAAGATGCAATAAATTAAGGAATTTTACTATTTACATGGACTTATGCTGCATTCAACAAGTTTTTCTTTTGGTAGCACTAAATTTGTATCTGTTAAAACAATTATTTATATTTAACAATCGATTCATAAATTATAATTTTTAATATAAACAATTTATTTTGTAAAACGAACCGCATAAAGACGACATAATACACTCTTCTGTGCAATTTGAACATGGAAATCCCTTCGTGTATGGTTGCTCTGACAAATCTGCGCTATAACAAAATTTATATTATGAAATAATTCATATTAAATACGTTAATAGCTGAGAAATAAACAAGCAACACTGAAATATTTTATATAAATGCGATGCCTTAAGCCAAGACTCGTAATACTAGTATTAGATTGTCTCATGCATACTAATTAATACCCATTATACGAGGTCCCGAGCTGCAGCTTGTTAAGCATATGTGCAAATCCGATCCTGATTCTCTGCTAATTATTTCATTATTGTTTAATAAAAAATAAATAAAATTAGAAATTTAATTAAAAATATAAATATTTACGCTGGATAATAATTACAAATGAAGAAATTTATGGATCCATTTGTGCCACATTTGGATTGTGAACAGCCTATGGAATGTGTTTTCGCCCACGTAATCTGAAATTTATTATATGTAAATACTAAAACTTCTATGCCATTAACCATAATTATTATGGTATTTTACATCTTACCGTTTTATAATGATGGCACGAAGCATCAATATCACAATTATTACTTGTATAATCGTAATTATTTTTTTCGTTGTTCCATTTCGCTAATGCTGCTCTATACGATGGAGTATCGAAATCCATATTCTGACTAATTATATTTTTACATTTACTTGGACCTAACTCGAATTGGCACCTGTCTCCCCATTTCTTTGCCAGTTCAGCTAAATGCCAATTCCATTTCTGAAAAGACACCATTTATAAGTTTTAAAGAGATTATACAGTAGACCTCCCTATAACACTGTATATAATTCCGTGTTATATGAATTCCATGTTGTACGAGTCACTTATATTTTACAAATACGTGAGCCGTTCACACGTATTTGTAAAATCTAAGTGACTCGTACAATATGGAATTCATATAACACGGAATTATCTACAGTGTTATAGAAATGTAAGCAATGCATTTATTAAACATATTATATATTATGATTCTTATTCTAGGAATTTACATTATGATACGTAAATAAAACTTACAATTTTTAGCATTTTAGAGGCAGATGGAGTAACTTGAGTTCTATACATGTTATGCAATGCTACAATAGTATCTTGTTCAAATTTTCTGATTCCAATGTTTAATTTAACCTTTTCAATATTATTTATATCTTTATTGAAAAGATGTTTTATGCTACTGTTCCTATTGGTAGCGATATTATTCGCAGAAAATAAATGCTCTTCGTGTGTGCAAATGATGTACATCAACCACAATCGAAAATATCTTCGAATCATATTCTGAAAATTTGATCTATTTATGAAGATAAAATGAATTTAATTAAATATAAAGTCATATTTATAAAAGTATTTATATAATCTATCTGATAATAAATAACACAAAGAAAAATATATTAATAACTTAGGGTTTACTTCGGTACACAAGAATACATAATTTATAACAAATATTTTTAGGTCCATTTAAATGTGAAGCCCAGACCAAATGGTCAGTGGCATGTTATCCCATAGACAAACAAGGTGCTCCCACCACATCGAGGAGACTCCAAACAAATCTTTTAGAAACTCATTACAGTAGTAAGAATATCGAAATTTAAAACTGGGCCATATCTGGAGACCACAGATTGCCGGTATGGCGCAGGAGCTGGAGTGCACTGGCACAGTGCAAAACTTAACCTGTTTGAAGCTTAATAACTTTTGTACTTTTAGTCAAACGAATATTTCTGAAATTTTCCATGGAGATTTGTTTATTAGAGGGATTAATGCTATTAAATTTTGGTGGTTAAAGGATAATGGGGGTCATATCTCCAGTAGGATCGAACTTAATGACGATTTTACTCGTTATTAGCATTTACAATTTGTTCATAAACCCATCCCTAACCTCAAATTTAAGCTTTTTGACGTTTCATAATAGTTAAAAATATACAAAGTTTTTAAAAATAGAATATGATTACAGATGGTGCCACCAAAATTTTAAATGTCGCCGGGAAAGTTGATCAACTCGTTGCTAGTTTTTTTTTCTTTCTTATGTAATAATTCATAATGTATTTAAAGCTTATTATTAACTACTTACACGTATCCAAAAATACTTTTAAATTAATATTTTATTTTGCAAAACAAGTTATTATGCAGTATAATTTCTCAGGAAAAGTAATCTGATATATTGTAACTACTGTATTGTGAATTTATTGTTAAACCAGATGTATGCAGAGGAAGACAAACATCTTTAAATATGATCCAATCTAACAATTGAATCCCACCGGTAGATTAAATTGTTTTGAGATGATTCCTATCCAACGATTCTCTTAATAATCAATTTATATAAGTATAATTTACTGTGGCCGAATGGTCGAGCGGTCAAGGTGGCAGCCTACCGCTCTGGGGGATCCGGAATCGAATTCAGACGAGTCGAAATATCCCCAGGAATTTTTCGGGGGTGGTCTTGTCCGGATATGTCGGGCCTCGTCCCTCACCACCCGGCCGCCCCATTGTGGGCCTGGTCGAACCCATAATGGGCTTGCTGAAAACAGGTCCTCTTAGTGCGGAAAGAGTTAAAAAAAAAGTGTAATTTACCAATAAGTATTATTTACTTTTAGAAAGAAATGTTTTATAACTTGAAAAACAGAGCATAACTGTAAATGAATAGAGTGATGAGTATTGTGCATTTTGTTTAATAAAAAAATAAGTTCATTAACCCTTAAAGTTTTAGCATAGAAATGGTTACAAGAAGCTACAGCGCAGGCCCCTAGTGAACGATTGGATAAAAACCACAGAACACTGATAATTGATCGTGAGTTCGTGCCTCACCAACGGGCTGGCCACGTGGAGTTTTCAGGGTTTCCTTCACGGTAGTAATACCTAAACAGGGGTCAATTTCCCATAAAGTCCCCCCTTCGGCAGATCTCCCAGGTGTCGGGTTGCCATAAACAATAAGCCAAACTAATACTAACTTTTGAAATAAACACTACGAAGGCCTTTTTTCAAGCCCATCGTGGGTTCGGCCAGAGCCACAATGGGGAGGCCATGTGGTGAGAGACAGAGCCCGAAGAATTGTTGAGATTTTACCAGAGCAGTTGACTGACACTCTAATTGCTCGGTCATCCGGCTGTTATATATAACAGGGAAAGTATGGGAATCGGTCAAAAAACATCATCCAGATTTTTACATTTTCGGACTCTTGCAATCTACTCTTCACAACAGTGGTAAAGGTTAAGTAGGTATGCACAAACTAATTCGGACCTTCCTAATATCAGGTTCTAGTTACGCTACTTTACAACTTAAAATAATTAAACTCTACTGCCCAATATAAAATTAACACAGACTAAAATTTTATGCTACACAGTAAAATATTTAGTTTCTTAAGAAACATGTACACCAAACCGCTTGTTAACTTTCTAAAATGCCCAATTAAGAATTCCACGATGAGTTTTTAAATATTAAATAAATAAATATATCTTTTTATCTCATCATTTCAATCGTAAAAGTTAAAAATTCTTCAATACAATTCTCAATCAAGCTTATAACAAATTATCATTACATCCGTCTTAAGTCAGAAAGAGCTTACATGATCTACACAACAGAAAAATATTAAAAAAAATAAATATAAAGCTGTAAACAGTAACAAAATTGTCTATATTCACTTACTTTTATTCTTATCGAGTAATATTTTATTGGTCTTACCCGACTTTCATTCTAACAAACTAGTAAATACCAGCCGACGTATAATAATTACATGACATTTCCTTTTCCTGGATGTTTAAGAGACTGATTGTTTTTAGGATGAAATCCAAATAAAATTTTTACTTTTTATATTCTACGAGCCGATTTACTTGGCTGTTATAATGACATTTTATACTTTAATTAAGCGTTGAATTCTTAGTCTATTTAAATTCCAATTGAACCAAGAATTATGATGGTAAGTTATGAACTACCAAGACCATAGCAAATTATAGGATTGTGTAAATTTTCTAGAATTGTCTCCATGTTAATTATGAAAATTTAGAATAATTTTGATGTTAATTAATAATTATTACTTTGCTGCGAGTTCAATTGATTAATTGGATCACGTATCGTGGCACTTAATTAACACGTGCTATTGTATTTTTAATATTTAGTCAGTAAAGTATTCTAGGATTTAAAAAAGTTAATCCGGGAGTTAAAATTATGAAAAAAATTAAGTATTTAATAATATGTAAACTCCTCCTCGAGTCTGCAATAATGAAACCAATAATTTTAGTGTAATAAGAGAATGGAGTGCCCCAAAATTTCCTATGGGAAACTGGTCCCTATTTAGGTGACAGGTAACTCTACTGGTAGGCTACCAGTGGTTTTATCCACTCAAGTGGTGGGCCTAAATCAAGCATTTCACTAATTGCCTGCATTCTCACCTAGCAATTGTTGGTTCTGCCAATGTACTGGTACCATATCCAAATTTTAAAAATTGAACTGAATTGTTATCAGTGGCGCGTTATCCTCAGGACAGTTGCCTGGGGAGTGCGGTGCCCAAATCAATCTTTTATAAGAAAATATTTCCCCAAAGAAAAGTGTATTACACCAACACTATATAGGAGGCCTCCTAATTCAAAGTTTCCTGGGCCATTGATATTAAATAATAAATCCACATCTTTTCAACTGTTTATATCTTTGAAAAGCCAGTACATGGATCTTATTTGCCTGAATTTTTCTCAGAATTTTTCTAGGAAGAAAAAGTCACCTCAATCCTTATTATATACAAGTACTCTGATCAACTGTAATCTAACTGATACATCAAATCTTTTCACACTATTTTATATTATATAAAATGCAATTTTAATTAATTTACATTTCAAAAATGCCTGCTTTTGTATAACACGCTAGAGAGTAACATTTCCAAGATTTGATTCATCAATCAATATAGTTTTATTTCTGTTTTTTTATCTATCACAAATGCTTTAAAAGTAAAATACATATCAAAAATTAAATATACTTTTTATTTGGCAAACAATTTTCACAATTTTAAATTTACTGCACTTCATGTACAATATTGCAGAGTAAAGATTGCATTTTATTTAGGTTTGGCATAATACAATTAGGCAAAAGTCGCCATTTTTTTTTTTTTTTACTAAAATACATATACCTAATATATAATCCAAGAAATATTTGATAACCAGAATTAAATTACCCACATTTGCAAATACAGAGCTGGAGTTTATATATCTAAATAGAAAACCTATTCTTTAATTAAACACAATTTTAACTGAATGAATTTAATTTTAAGAATTTGTTTAAAGCTTTAAAATTGCACAATCAATAAATTTACTAATAGAAAATGAATGGTGTACAGTAAGAAAGCTTTGTAGAATTCTTATTCCAATATTTATCCATTGATCCAACTAAAACTTAAACTGATTTACTGTGTTTTACATAGGTAGTAAGCAAAGTTGATGTATAAAAATTAAATTTAAAATGAAACCGCAATAAAAAAAAAAAACATCTTGAGTTATACTAAATCTCTTATAATTTATTTTATCATTAAAAATCTAAAAGAGATCAGAAGAAATTCATCTAAAAAAAAAAAAAAAAACAGAAACCATAAATAGGATGTAAAAATTGTAACAAAAGATAAGAAAAATTCAACTTTGGTATAAAAAATTGTCTCAAAATTTAACTTCGATTCATAATTAATTACAATTATAAACTGATGTTAATTATGAACAGTCAATTATCAAAACATTTAAAAAATTAAAACTGAATCATCATCATCTCCTGCCTATTTCAACAAAGTATAGGACAACAGTTTTCAAAGAAACACTTCCGAAATGATGGCGGAAAATTATTTTCTATTACCGCTTTCAGATTCAATTTATAATAAATGCCAATTACTTCGCACTGATTAAAATATTAACGTGTATCGCTGTTACTTTCGTACATAGTTACCAGTATGCTTGTAAAGTTGACATTAACGTAATTTGACGCAATGGAGAAATTACCTTACTTTATTATAATTAAGGTAAGTTTTAACTACATTAAAAATCTGTATATTTTACCTCTCGTAGATTCTGAAACCATACAGATTCATTAACGTAACAAATAGTAAAACAACAGAAACTTTTTGGAAGCTTCAGGATGTTTGGATCATTTTGTGCATAGAGTAAAAAGTTTTATGGATGTTTAAAATCCTGCATTTGTAAAGATTTATATATTGTAATATTTCATAAAATATCGGATTTTTTTGAAATAGTTTTCCCTATTTTTAACTTTATAGTATTTATAGTAATTCTTATTTACAATGAGTTTGTATATACAATGGAAAAATAGCTTGGGAAATTAAAAATGTTTAAAATTAAGTACAGAAATGATTTCAGATTAAAAAAGAAAATAAAAATTAAAAAGCCTCTACCGGACTTCTACACATCATAGTTACCACATTTACAAATTTTGATATAATGTGTTTTGAACGATTCCATATTTACATATATTTATATGTATTATATGAAACAGGTTTACAAGTAATCTCATCAAACTACTAAACTAAATCATATACTGAATAAACTGGAAAATATGAAATTTATTTTCTCTTTTTGGTTCTGGATTTTCTACGTCTGTCCGGTTTCTTTGTCTTGTGAAGTCTTCCCACATGTACTCCTTGTCTCCTCCTCACCAGAAGCTGTTGCTCTACTAAATCTGCCAACTTTCCTTGTTCTGCCAACATCGATAAAAATGTGCAAATAAATTGATCGTAGCAATGCGTTCTCCGACAGTCATCAATCTGTTAAACAGATTTATTATTATTATTCTAGCATTACAATTAAAAATACTTTATATATAAAATACATTATTAATGATAATTTTTTCAGATAAAATACTGGGCAGTCAAACAAAAAGTTTACTTGCAAGGAGTAGACTCGGTGCTGCCAAGATATCTCAATGTTTTTTCAGCTGGTAGAGTTGATGCAACTGGACATGTTTGTAGTCTTATTTCGTCAACTGGTATGTATCTATTAACAGGACTTATTAGACTGGCTTTAAGGATACTGTAACTCAGTTTCCTTTTCAATTGCAGAAATGTTACCTGTTTTGCAAGTAACTTTTCTGCAATTTGGGCATATTTTTTACATGACACCTTTCCTTGACATGCATTGATTCAGGAGCTGATTATGGTTTGTCTCTCCATCTGCTTCTTATTTGCTGTTGATGCTTCGAGTTACATAATAGTCTTTCGTTGGAAGAAGCTAGTTCTAATTTGTCATTATCATATTAATTGCAATTTACGAACTTGCAGGTTGAAACTAGAATAGTTGCAATCAGAAATTGCAAGCATGTTTGTACAATTTAGTACTTATGGTGTTAAATGTTTAGTTGAACAAATTAAATAAACATTTTATGTATATGTATATATAATTTACAAAATTATTGTTTATAATTACTATGAATATGATAGCCTCATGATTATCCAGTTTAATGTGATAGATGGCTGAAACCAGGCAAGGAAAAGTGAAAACAACATGGAGATTGATGATAAAGCATTTCCTGTGCAGTCAAGACCAACAGTAAGTCCAATATGTAGTTTATTTTCCAAGTGTAATTTTTTATAGTACATATGATAATGTTTCAATACAAAATTTACAGCAAAAGTTGATAAGACACCTCAATTACTTTCTGTTTATATATATATGTTTTATTTAAACAAAAAATTATGTAAACTGTCATATCAATATAATGTTTTAAATTTATTTGAATAAACTGTCTCAACAATTAATCTTGGAAAATTTATAAAAAGTTTCCTACGATGAATTTTAAAAGTATCCTCCTTCCTTTAGTCCCTTCGAACACCAGAAGGAAATAACAATTTCATGGCAATTTCAACCTTTATTTGGAGGCTTCTCCCCTGTCTCGGTATGCAAAACATTACAATTTACCCTTTGGTGGCAGCACAAACACTTATAAAAAATTATATGTTTTATTAAATGTCTCAACTATTCATTATAAAGGTAAAAAATTACGCTGCAGCCATTCTAGTATTAATAGTTTCAAATGTTATTTCTTGAGTCTAAAGTAAATAAATGTTCATAATTTAAATGTTTATTGTGATGCATAGCCAAGAAATGGCAAATATGACCATTTACACATTGCTGAGTTTATTCCTTGCAAGTATTTGCATGATCAGACTATATTAAATACATCCAAATGAAACTTACTTTATACTTCTTTCGCTTCTCGGTTTCATCACGAAGATTACTTTCACACACAGAAATTTCACTTTCAACAGTTTTCAAAAGAGCCAATAAGTCCTACAAAAAAATAAAACATTTCAAAAATCTTTACTTTTAAATTTTTTGAACAAATATTATACACTAAATCATTATAAGTGCAAAAACATGTTTAATAAAATACCTTAGGAGCAAATTTATGTGGTTCAACAAGATGCGGATGTTTCGAAATCCCTATTTTATGGCTATTCTTTGATTCGTCAGACGAAAGAGATGTATAAATATTATCTGTATTATTTGCTTTCTCTTCATAACTATCATTAGATGAATGATCAGCATTGCTTGCAGAATCTTTTATAGAACCATCTTTCTCTTGATTTGTTACATTACTTTCTTCTAAACATGGTTTTTTAGGTGGGATTTCATTATCTAATGCAACAGTTTTGTTTGCATCAGATGGCTGAGATTCAGGTTTACTTTCAGAAATTTTAACTTCACTATTTGTAGATTTACTAATTTTAGTTTCTTCTGTTGTACTTACACCATTACTGGATGTTACTCTAATAACGACAAACTTCTTAATGTCACGAACATCTTCCAACAGAGTATTCTCAAGTGCTTTAACATTTTTCCCAGCAGAGTTTGGGCTACCTTGAGTGAAATTATATTGAACCGATCGAACAGGAGAATTGAATGCACTTCCAGCTTCTGACGATGTGTCAGTACTAGATGCACTGGGAGTCGGAGAAGGTTGGAATTTTGTTTGTATTGTGAGAGGTTTCATAAAATCTGTTGAAGTATTTATCGTTAATGGTTCCATTGTTGTCTGTTCTATTTCACATTCTTCTTTGGAGGATTGTGAATTAGAATTTTCTGACTGATTTTGTTGAGATTCTGATGTTTTTTGCTCTGGTATTTCCTCCGTAGAAGATAAAACAGATCCATTCCCTGTACTTTTTTGCTTGTTTCTACGATGTCCAGGAGAATTTCTATCTTCATCCGAATAATCAGATCCACTGTAATCCTCATATCTAGGTTGAACTCCAGTAGGATCTACGCCTTCCATTAGTGGACTTTTAGCATAATTATGGCTATCTAATGCTGGTGGAAGTTTTGGAAATGAAGCATTTGCAATTGACGTACTATGACTTGAAGTTACAGATTTTTGGGAAGTTCCACTAAAATAAATGCAATGCTTAAAAGTTGAAAAGTATTCATACGTTTTTATACAGTATGCAGATTTTATAGTTAAATATACCTTAATAACTGATTTGATTGAGTATTTTGTTGATCACTATTAGATTTTCCTTTGCTCTTCTTCACTGCAGCCATATATACGGCATGGTCATCAGAAGTGAGTTCAGGATGAGTTAATTTGACAAGCTATGTATAGAAATATTTTTTACAATATGTTTTATAATTTTTTAATAATGTAATAAGAATAAATAAATACAAACACACAACAAATAATTTTCAATATATTTTTGTTATGCGAAGTTAAAACATTCATAAACATGAAGCATGAAACTGAGTAAAGTAGAATTCAATAATACAGAATTAGATAATGATTGTATTTGCTATATCATTATCAATTTAGTCACATGATCCTATATGACTAAAATTGGTCCAATCATACAAATCAGCAATGGCCAACTTCTTTGGACTCAAGAGCCTCACAGCACATGACTTTTGAAGTGGTGAGGGCCTATATGTATAACTTTCCATCTACTCCCCTCTGCAAAAATTACCAAACCAAGCTGTTATACAAAAATACAAAATATTGGAAAATTAGATTAAAAATAAAAAACCATTAATGATGATGAAATACATTATATCTTAACTCACTACCACTGATGTGAATACAGAAGACACTCACGAGAACTAACCAGTTCCTCTAACTGGCTATTCCATGTTTTGTAACTAGTGAAAGGCTTTTAAACAGCACAGTATTTAACAATTGAAAAAAATGTGCTGAAATATTTCACTATTGTCAGTCTTATAGGAGGCTATGTAACAGCTTTACGAGCCACCTGTTAGTCATTGATGATATTAAAGTAATGTTTGTATTTACAATATAAGTAATGTATATATCAACTTCTGGTTCTCCATTTCTTCAGAGAGCAACATAAAAATAACAAATTTTTTGAATTTTCTAAAGAAAATGATTGTACAACAAATATTTTGCTTTGTATAGAATACTAATATATTAATTATAACAAAGAGACTAATGAGTATTTTCTAAAAAATAAAATTAAATTGTTTTTTAAAAAAATTTGTATTTGTATTTTGAAAAATATGAAAATAAAATAAAAAAGCCCATTTTAATATAAACATATTTAAACTTTACAATATGTTAATATTAAAATACAAGTTTTATATTTTGACTTCCTTATTAATTTGTGATAAATCATAATCTCAAAATACATAACAATTCATGACTATTATTTTAGATATATATATATCAAAATTAATTTTGTTAACAGAGTACTAAATCTAAAAATTGTCAACTTCTATTTTCTTAAATAAATTATTAAGAACATACCTTAACTCCAAATGGCCAATGTTTGAAAGGCAGGGAAACTAAATGAAATGTCATTATTACAAAACAAAATTTGAAACTTATTATAAAAGCAGCATTTATTTCCTTGAAAATAAAATTTTCCTTTACAGTATGTTTTATAAATACATACAAACATACACACACATATTAATATATATATAATGTGTGTTATGATAAGGAGATTTTTGTTAACTGAACTCCTACTAGATTTCTCAGCAGATTTGAATGAATTAAGCAACAATAGATAGGGATAGTTATTGCAATAAGGTTTTTATTTTCAAATTCAATGATTTGTTCTAGAGATATCAGGTTCCAAAATTCTGAAATTTCCCTATCATTTTGTATGAAGAGTCAATAAGAAATTTTTTACAACAATTTGGTGTCAGGTTTACTGATGAGTCATCTGTATATGTAGTTTATAAAACAATGAATTACTTTGATAAAATGTGTTAAATTTTCTGCACTTTGTAAGTATTTACTGATAGTTTTGTAATAACTTTTATATAACTATTGTATTGCCTACCACTAGATGATAAAAATAGTTATATAAAAGTTATTACAAAATTGTCAGTGGCTCCAAAGTTGTACCTCATTTATTCCTTTCTTAATTAGGACCCGGGTTCTATTGAAATTATCACCTAAAATTTGCATAATATGCAAAGAAAATTTTGTAACACATTTTTGTAGTTGGTGTTGAAAGCACAAATATATTTCATGTAATCCATATGACAAGTAATTCTTCATATATCTTAAATGCCAATTTTTAATTCAAAATTAATTTCTCTATTCAATGCCTTATCCCCTGGGTACTGTGGTTTATCCCTTAGATTTTTTATGATTCATGTAAGAAGTTATTTTATCTGAAAATTTCAGGTTTTTTAAAAAAATTATAATAATTCCAAGTTTTGACATTTTCAATATTCCCTAAATTTTTCTGCCATTCCAGGTTTTCCCCAAGGAGACCAAACCCTATTGCTGTTAGTCAGTTATGTGAATTATGTCTACTTAAATGCTATGACTTCAAAAAAGTGTGCACTGTAAGATATTACTGTTATGATTATACAATGATTAATATACTTCAACTACTATAACTTCATATGCCACAAAGGCAAGAGACTAATTAAAATCTAATGTTTTTGATCTAGTTCATAAACCATCTTCAGGTTCAAACTTCTAGAATAGAATCATTCAAAAGTTAAAATCCTGAAAATTAAAATTCTTAACTTAAATTTCAAATGAATTTATTCTAGGTTTGGTATATATATATATACATCAGACTTAGAATTTGGTTTGCGGAGTTGTTTTTATATATGTTATGGACCGAGTGATTAATAGGTCATTATTCATAATGCCTGGCTATTATGAATAATGATTAAAATGGCCACTCATTTATAATTTTAATAAATATTGATTAATTTATTAAATTGACCAGACATTATGCATAAAGCTACATTTTCTTTAAGCAATTTGATTTTCAAAAAAGTCCACTTTTTTATTACGAATTATTTACTTTTGTGAATTATTTCAAAGTATTTTAAGAAAATCTTGCTCATATTATGTGGTTTATATTAATGTAGCTATATTTATTACATTAAACTCTTTATTAATCAACACACATTACATAATTTATTTTAATAATGATTCTATTTATTAACTTTGGCAATTAGCATTCAACAAAATAATTAGAAAAAATTTCATTTACAAGCTGGAATATTTTTTAAAAGTATTATTAAATGTATTAATACTTTTTGTTAACATTAATTTAATTATTAACAAAATGATATAATTTTGTCATAAAAATCAACTTAAAGGAAACTTTTGGAATGTCATTTTGGTATATGGTGTTAAAAAATTTAATATTTTGTTGAATGATCATTCTTTAAAGTATCATTATCACCACTTTGTCCGACAGATGTTAGCAGTATTCATATTGACCAGTCAATGTGATAAATCATGATAAAAAACATAAAATTTATTACAATACCTGATGTTTTTCATTACTGATAATGATCGGGCATTGTTTATAATGCCCATATTAATCATAGTCCATAATAGGGTTTCTCATTTCCCGGTCTTTTGCTTGTCCCGGGATCCCGGGATAAAAGTGAACTGTTTCCCGGGATCCCGGGATAGAATTAATTATTTCTAAGGTATACAAAATATCTTGAAATCAAATGATAAAATTATTTTCCATTTTTTAAAGTAATTTTAAAGTTCTGTAACCTCCAAAATCATATTAATAACGCTGTGTAAGGTCTATAGGCCTATAATAAAAATTACCTTTAAATAACGTAGAAATTTTCACAAATAGAAAAAAATTAATTAAAGTTTGCTGGAAACTGCATACAACAACAACAAAAAAAATTTTTGAATTGAGTTAAAAATTAAAGAAAATGAACTTCTAATTTAGAAGGTAATTTTCGTTTTTTAAATAAAATATAATACAAAATATTGCAAACTTTTATAAGATTTTAAAAAGCAAAGATGGTCAATACTCCGATAACTCACTCTAATTCTTATTTTAGTAATGAAAAGTCTTGCCACCGAGAATGCCCTTTCCGATTCAATTGATGTGATTGGAATAGTGTTTAATGCATTTAAGAGAAGACAGATATTATGTGTTTTTTCACCTGTAGCCTGGAAGATTTCGAGTTCGTTTTCGAGATTGTAGTACTTCTTTCGCTCTCTAGTATTCTTGATTTGTCTACCTTGGCTGCTTTAATAGCGGCATCAAGCTTAGAGCTCGATAATTCGGCAATTCATTTGGCTTTAATAATCAGGTTTATGAAGAAAAACTTCATACTTGCAGACTTTGTACTCGTTTGTATCCTTGCCCAATTTGCACAATCTGGCGTCAGGCATTTATTGAAGCTACTGGGCATGGTTAAAACTCAAGACAGCGTAAGCACAATTATTCCAGATATTACAGGTTCCGACAAGTAAAGAATTTTTATAGTCCTGCCACAAATAAGCTATATATTGATTATTGACCATTTGTGACATGCTATAACGAGCAAAAATTTAAAAAAAGCTAATAGGTAGGTTTAAAATTAATAAATACAAATGTATTCTGACAGTGAATGAGTTAATTATGCTTTCTATTTGCAAAATTCCTCAACCTTAACACAAAATAAGAAAACAAGTGAATTTTTAAGAAATCTGCGGGATTTCCCGGGATAAGAAAAATTTCCCGGGTTAAAAAAGCAACCGGGATCCCGGTTGCTGGGAGTGTCCTGGAGTATTGACCATCTTTGCTTTTTAAAATCCCAGGATCCCGTTTGAGAAACCCTAGTCCATAATATATATATTTTATTTGATTTAATCACAAATAAAATATTATCAAATGCACATATTAAGGCAAACATGGTTGTTTGTTTTAATATGTGATGAATGGAAAACGAAACCAAAATATTATCATGCGCATGACTGGAAAAAGTTTACTTTTAATGATTCAGAATGTGCTAATATTCATTAAAAATAATAATTTAACAAATATGAAATAACTACATTTATAATTATTGATAAAACTATTTTCTGTGGATGAATAAGATGCAATGTAGTTTCTAATTGATGGATGAAGGTTTAAACCAATAAACAAAGGAGATGTGTCTTAGTTTGTTTACAGCAGCTGCCAACTTACAATAAATAATCTGTAGACTGGTATTTGATGAGCCAGAAATAGTGATCGGTCATTCCTTTCCTCAAAGCTATTTTCAAACTCTCTCTTTTAAAGCAACATTCATCTTGACCTCGATAGTACCCTGCTATAATGAAGGCATAAACTATACAGTTCACAGAAATTATTGCAAAAACGCAAAAAATCTTATGCTCACATGTATAGGATGACCTAGGTTTATGAAGCAATGAAAATGAATGAAAACCTCATCTTATATGTGAATAAATACATTATATAAACAACTTCACAGACCTGAGTTTTGATTAAAGCCAAATGATAGCCTTATTATTGTCCAATAATTTGGCATAAGTTAATTAAATATGAAGTAAATTGTCTAGAAATATGTGTTAAGCCAACATCTTGTGATAATTTTAGTAATTATAATATAAATTAATTTTAATATAGAATTTCTAGAAGAAAAGAATCAACCCAGAGTGGGACTCAAACCCGTAACTTCTGTTAACCATGCAGATACATTGTAGTTACAGGCAGACGTTTTCTTCTATGTGAAAATTCATTTACTTATTATAATTATTAAAATTATCACAAGATGGTAGCTTAACCACTTACTTATAGACAAATTACTTCATATCTAATTATTATTTTAGCCTTATTATAGCCCATAATTTGGTAGATCATCTGATTCTAAAAGTCTGAATCCTTAAGATGATCTATGGACTAGATCAAAAATGTTAAATTCTGTTTAATCTCCAGGATATGTGAAGATAGTAGCTGAGGATATTACTGTTTTTTATAGAAAAAATGTAAAATAAAAGATAAACATAACAACATTCATTAGAATTTTAACAACATAAATCTGTCATAAAAACTATTAGTTCTGACATCTTTTGACATATCTTTGACTTAAATTTTGATAATAAATCATTAAAGTCGTTTTGGTCTGGTCACTCAAAAGACATGTAAATGGTGGTCTATCATATAAATTTATATTCAATAATATGTTACTTAAATTTCTTACTGATATAAATACCTGCTGCAAAGCTTCCAATACAATCTGCCTATTTGTTTTCAATATGCGAAGTTTCTGTTCATATGCAATTCTGCGGTCAGGAACTACAGCCATTAGATTAAATCTGACGTCATGGAATGATTCACCACCTCCAGTAGCAATACCAAGTCTTTCTGTAATAACTCTTCCAAATTTTTCTGTCCAATCTTCTCCTTCTGCCCAGGGGCCTGAAATATTTATAAACAAGCAACTTATTAAAATAAATTCTTCTTCCTATATGTTAAACTAAATAATAAACAGAAGTGATAATTTGAATGCTAATCCCTCTAGTATAGCTATATAAGGCTACAGTCATAAAGACATGAGAATAGTAGTGATATTAATCTCACAAAGTAAAACTATATGCATGTAAAAAGTAGAAACTCTCATTAACAGGACAGAAAATCTAGCATATACAAATATTTAGTACTGATTTTTATCACAGCATAAAGTTCTTGTTTTATACTGCACTTGTGCATTACTTCTTTACCTTGTTTTTGCTGTGTGTATGATCAAAAATGGCTTTTTCAGCATATCTAAGCAAGGAAATTAATTAATTTTGTTACGACTTATCTCAAAATATGGATTAAGTGATTAAAATATCATTGAAATAGAAATAGTAAACATCACCAGCAAGCCATTTTTCTCCCCACACTTTTGAACGAAAAGAAAAAAAATTATGCTACTGCACAACAATGTTAGTGAGAGTGTAAAATGAAAAAGCAAAAATTATCATAATCTGACATCATCACATTTGCTTGCTCACTAACATCTTGTGCCAGAAAATTAACTCATCTTTGCATGGCTATAGCCTACTTAAAACAATTTATTAATAATATAGCATAGTATCAAATGATTCGTATGTAATTAAATTTTTATTAAAATTCTTTCTTTATTTCAAAATTATTACTTTCAACAACAAATCGGTTTAAAAAGTCTCCATATAACAAATTATACAGGGTGTAGGTAAAAACATTGCACAAGACTATATCTTGTCTCTACTAAGTATTGGCTAAATACAAGTGCATAAGAGTATAATTTGATGGTGTAGTTTCTCTTGTGTGTGCCTGTATTTAGCTAATGCATAGCAGAAGCAAGATATAGCCTGGTGCAATGTTTCTGTCTATGCGAAGCATGTATGTGTATGTATATAACCAGGGTGGCCAAGCTCCTTGATAGTCCGAGCCATTTTTCAAAATTTGAAATTTTTCGCGAGCTGCAATTAAATACGTATTAAAAAGGTATGTAAAAAATTCCAGATTACAAATTATATCTGTAGCAAGAGTGATACAAATTGTTTCCTCCAGAGCACAATGTCAACTGTCCATTGCAATGACAGTTTACAAATTCAAAATCAGTCTGGAGTCGGTCGATAACGGACGATTACGCCACTGTTTATGTTCGTTCACGCAGTTTTCAATGAGTCATGTCATTCTTAACTTGGACGGAAATCAGATTTGTTACAACGTTGCACTTTAGTCTTTTATATTTGTTGTTAGTAATTTAAAAGACATTTTGAAACACATATGGAACGATAATAATTTTTTAAAATATAACACAAAAATGAAAAGGGAACTCGGGTACATTTATCGAGAGCCACAAATAATCATTCAAAGAGCTGCATGTGGCTCGCGAGCCGCAGGTTGGCCACCCCTGGTATATAATATCAATATTAATCTGTCCCGTTTACAGTCATTTTAGCCAATGGAAACTTCATTGGATATTAGGATATTGTTAAATATAATTTATTAATATGTTATTAATTATTTCAGTTAATTTTGTTATATACACCTTGATTTTTAAATGATTTTTTCTAATTACAAGTTTTAAATAAAGTTTGTATGATTTTTCCAAAGTCTAAGCACTGTTAATTGACAATTTATAAGTTCTTTAATATTTTTTATTATTATTTATTTTTCTTCATCTAGATAATTTCTAAATTAAAATAAAACATTATTTTTAGATAAATTCGATAAGAACCAATTCAAAAACCAGGCATGCCCATAATGGGCAAAATTGTATTTAGCTACATTACATAGACATAATGAACTGATACCTTGTGTAAACAAATCCATACAATATTGAATTTGTGAAAATCAGGTTTGGTAATATTGCATAAAAGATATTTTGATATGCAATAACTACCAAACCTGATTTTATAATATTAAATCTTATGCAATCTGAAGATAAAATGCAAAATTTACTCTATATACTCCAATAAGAGTTGTATTCAAATTGTGTTCTGAAGAACTGCAGAATACCATAATACATTCCTTAAGGCTTCTACAGAGGTAAACAAACACCTTTGTAAGCTTTATCTTTAAGACATTATTGCCTAGGATTCTACAAAAATAAAACTCGAATATGAGAGTTCCATAGCTATTAAAAGGCTACATATACATTTTCAGAGACACTTTTCAATTTCAAAATAATAATTAATGTAATTACAAAAGCTTACTTAACTTCCAAACATAAAAACTATTTAAAACATAGAATTAAAAATATGACACTTCCGTGTTGCGACACGGAAGTGTCATATTTTTAATTGCTAAACGCTGGCGTGAAGTGAACTACATTTTCATTAAAACATAGAATTATATTAATTTCAAATTCATTATTAAATTTAGAAAGCATTTTTTATCAGATAACTTTATTGAAAGAAATTCAATTGTTGACTTAAAGGTTACTAAATAACACTAAAATAAATATAAATTACTTAAATAATTCCTTTGGAGTAAAATTCTAAAATATATCTTTGTTGATTTTTGATTACATTACAACCATTTTTCCATTTGTACAAATTGTTTCTGCCTGCTAAAAACTTTATTTATGTAAAAAAAGTATCAATTTACCAGTGCATAAAAATGATAATACGAAGTATATTATATAACTCCGCCATGCAATCTCTAGAAAAACATGCCAATCCCAAGCCTGGGAAAAGGAGTAGGGTTGGTTAGATGAGTGTCAATGCACTAACCACAAAACAACAACATGAATGAAATCTGATGTCAATACAAGCAAAAGATAAAAGATGCTGGCTTGGATAAACAAGGTCCATGACATCAACCAAGCAATCAAAATTGGGTCGAAAAATTGGCTACTGAAAGAAAACTTCATCCAGCAACATGGGTCCTCTCAGTAGGAACTTTGAATGTCAANTTACCTGATAAGACAGACCTCAGAAAAATACTTTATGAGAGCTTTTATACTTTTATAAAGCTGTCTATAATGAAAATTAATTAACTAAGGATTTTTTTGCCCTGCCAGGGTGTGGCCGAGTTATCCGGAGTGCCGGGTTATCGAGAGCCGAGTTTTCGAGGTTCTACTGTATCAAAATCTATATATAATAATAAAGAAATTTTACTATCTGTCAGCATTAAGTAAGCTTTTAATTTAAAATTAAGAATAACAAGCACTTTTAACAAATTCAAAATTTTTTTCTGCAGATAATGAAAATACTAAATAAAATAATATAACAATATCTATATACATATTGCACAGGAACAACAGAATAATGTAAGAGAAAATTTTGTGAAAAAGTTTAAGTAATTAAGCCTCTAGTTATTGCTTTTAAAACCAACATAAAAAGGAATGTAAACGAAATATGATCTAAAATACAGAGAAACATGATAATCTGGCATTATCTGCAATAGATTTCACCAGTGACAATTATAAGTGGAAATTTAATGACAATTCTCTTAAAGTTGAAATGAACTTTTAAATGGGAATGGGAAATTCAGCAATCGTTTACAATAATTTTCAGTAAAATACAAATAATAATACAGAAGAAAAGTGAAAAATGTTTATATAATTTTTCTTGTGTGTAAAAATGTAAATTTAAAAGTATAAACATAAAAAATACATACTTTGCATGACTGTTATGGGCTCTTGCTAATTCTGGAGTATTTCCTATTGCATATCCTTTATTCTGTTTTCAAAATTTATTCTTTAATTTAAAATATGATTATAAAATAAAATTTTATTAAAAATAATATTACTAAAATTTATTCTCATCTAAAAACATTTTAAATTGTGTTATAAAAAATTATTATTTAAATAATTCCAGCAAATGGTAACCATAGAAATGTGAGAAAGCCGTTATCCAAATCAATTTACTTTATCCACGTAAGTAAATCAACGAAACTTACCTGTCATTCAATGAAATCGCTGGTTTATTATAACTAACTTTAGGACTTCTATCAAACAAACTAATAATATGATTACGCAAGCATGTACATGCTTATAATCTCTTACAAGTTTGTTGTTATTTTTACTTACATTAACAAAATTATTAAATCACAATTAAACTTACGAAAGAAATTTAATTGAAAAAATAAATTTTACCTCAGGACTCATATTTGTAGTATGATTTTTTAACCTAGTTAAAGTCTGTCCTAAATGAATTTTTGAACAATTCAATAAAACACTCAACAAAGCATGAGTTGCACACGAATTAGGAACCATCTGCAAAATATATAAATTTTATAAAAATTAATAAATAAAATAAAAAACTAAAAAATTATTTGATAAATAAAAGCACATACAGTGTAACTCTGATATATGGATCAAACCTCATCCTGAAAACTGCTCCTAAATCAAAATCTCATAAATAAAGACAAGCTTTCCTATTATATCTTATGGTTGAAATTAGTATTTTGTTTTGAGGAACATTGATATGATGATATAATTCAATTACTATCACCATGTCCCCAAATAAAATTAAAGTGCTACAAAACACCTATTTATCTGATTCTAAATGAAAGAAAATAAATAAAATGAAATTGTTGATTAGGGTTATTCATTGATATAAAAATAACAAATACAAAATGAGAAAAGTGAATATGAAGTAAGCAAATACTTCTTTATAAGTAAGAAAACAATTATTTGAGACAAAATGCAAGTAAAATAAAACTGGTTTTTAAGCAATTAAAAATCAAATGAAATTTTTTCTCTGGTTTAATGTTGGAATGAATAACACTGACCCTAGTAAACAAAGACATAATGTAAATGAAACAAAGAAAATGGAGACTGAAACTTAGAATCCATCTTACAGAGCCCACAGGAATTTCAATCTTGTTCCATCTGTGATTAGAATATTTTGTTCTTGTAAATATTGATCAGCGCTCATTATATCAAATTCTTATACACTAAAAAAAAGACCTTATGGTCTCGGAAATTCAGTTCGGGATGAGACTTTGCAGGTTAGTAGTATACCTCAAGAGTGTCCACCGAGAAGAATTGTAAAGCACACTAGCCAGAAGATTCTGAGAAAAAGGGCTCTAAAATTTTAAGCGCAGCTCATATACTGGTCAATTTTACACTATGGCAGCACATACCATAAGGTTCCCTTGTAAGTATTCAAATCAGGGTCACATGAAAATTTTCTAAAATGCATTTTTTTAATTATGTGTATAATTTACTTTCTTTTTTCGCTTCTTTATGTATTTGTGCTTTACATACATATACAAAACTGAAAACTAACATTTTTCCAATTTTGTATTTGACTAATCCTTTATATTCTTTAATTAATATTTTAATATTGTTTTACCTGCTGGGCAAAAAAAATTGAATTTACAATTTCTTCATCTTCTACAAAACTTTCTTCTACGACTACTTTTCTTCGACATCGCCTTTCTTCTATCCACTTAAATAGAAATATAAAGCCATAGACTGGTCTGCAATATGAATAGAATAAAATTACAAATGTTTTTTTCAGTACTTAGCATTGTATATCAAAGTATTTTTATATTCTATTATCTTTCAACAAAAAGATAACATTCATAATTAAGTTAAATAAATTTCACAGTTACAATAACTGCATTTCAATATAGTCTTTACAAGTATATTCTTCAAATTAAAATTACATATCAATATAAATAATACAAACATTAGTCATATATATTAGGAGTTTAGCTCTGACTGCCTTCAGCAGTCTAACCCCAGTATTTTGTGTTGCTTCATAACATTATCCACATAAAATTCAAACATTTATATTGATTAAATAGCTGTAAATAATATTACAATATTTAATAAAAAAAATTGTAATTTCAAATAACAGAACATATCAGTAATAATAAACATCACTAAAAATAATTAGACAATGTTAAATTGCAAGTAATTAAATATTTAAATCAGAACTCCACAACTGGTGTGCTGCAAGAAGATGCTAGGTGTGCTGTGGCACAATGACTCCAAGAGGAAGAAAAGAACAGAGTTTATGGTGGACATGAATATGATAAATACACGTTAATTCAAAAGGAAAAATAATTTGCCTATTAGATGTTTATTTACCACTGATGTTTATGACAGGAAATTCTAACAAGCTTCAAACTTTTACAGTCACATTTCACAGAATACATGTATGCATTTACTCACAAACTCATCTTTAAACAGCGAGAGTCATATTTCACAGAATCTGTGCAAATCTAAATTTATGACTGGTACAAAAAGTTTAAAGGGAATCTGTGGAAGATGACCCACATCCAGGCAGATCTTCCACAGTATGAAACAAACAACTAATAAGAAATTAGATACAAACATCAATAAACAATTGATGACCTGGCAAAAGAATGCACATTTCTCATGATTTGACCAACAAAATCCTTCACAATGATTTCAAAATGTATCATGTTTGCCAGCACATTGTCCCAGAGATGCTGACAAACAATGGGCAGCTCTTTCCTTTATCTGGAGAAAACTGATTGACACGGTTGACGAAGATCCTGATCTCTTAAACCAGGCAATGGAAAGAAACATGGTGCTTTCTGTGAGGCAGTCTTTGACTTGAATGTTATCATTCTCTACTCATCAAAAGAAGTATCACATAGAAAGATCAAGAGAAATAGTCATATAGTTTAGTACTCAAGGTATGCATATGGAAATTTGTCCTGATCAGTTGATATGCTTCCAACAAAAGAGAACTTTCTTAAAACACATAATAAAGGTTATAAGTCCTGAATGCATCACTATACCTCAGAGCATAGTTTGGAAAACAAAGAAATTGGGCCATTCTACAAACAAGATCATGCTGACATGCCTTTTGGAATCAAGGCATTCTTCTCATTGACTTCTTACCCAAAGGATGTCACAAAAATACTGATAGTTACTGTGTGATGTTGAGATGTCTAAGAAGAGCCATTGAAAAGAAAAGATGAATATCTGAAATGGAAAATACTGTCATGTTGCATGACAACAAACGTCTGAACAAGATGACCATAGTGTAACAGCTACTGGCATCTTGGAGATGAAAACATGATCATTTATCTGGCACACTGTGACTATCACCTTCCAGGCCTCTACAAGAATGAGTTAACAGATTCAAGAATGAGATAACAGATGATGTGACAGCAGTTTCATAGTGGCTGCATAAGCAACCTGATACATTCTATGAGAGTGGTATCCAAAAACTTATGCCACAATGGGAGAAATGTTTGGCCCATCGTGAGAGCATGTGGAAAAACAGAGCTTTCAAATTTATATTTTAAAATTTTGAAACAGCAAATGTCAAGAAAAACAAAGTTGTCAAAAAGTTTTTGATTTCCTCTTATATATATACAGTAATACCCCAAACTTACATGATAGGTGGGACCGAGCAATAACCGTGCAAGTCGGGGTATAATTTCGCAATTTGTGTAAAATCCAAGTCGGATGTATGTAAGCTAATAAATGTTCTTGTTAAATTATCTTGTCTTTTGATTCATTCACAGTTACAAGAAATCACCACATAGAGTCTCTCAAGTCTCCGTAGATATAACAAACAGAAATAAATAACACAAAATAAATTNTAAAAATTATAGAATTACTTACCAAGTGTGAACCGTTCGACTACGCGGTTGCTTAAGCTTGTTTTCATCGTGGAGATTGTCATCAAATGGCACTTGCGTGCTTCCTGATAAATTATTTTTTTTGCGAAAAATTCGCTGAACTTTAGAGACATCATTAATATAAATATAATTTTTATGGACGTTAAATAATAAATGGTTTTTGGTAGGTCCACTGCTCATTTAAACTCAATGGTTTGTGCAATCCTGTTGCAACATGAGTCGGCAATGACATTTTACTGAATAATAGGAGTTTTTTTTAGCATGTTTGTACGAATACTGTTGCAATTTTTTCGCCGTGATATAGGAATCTGAACTATAGGAACCTGTGTTATGGGGGGTCGACTGTATAAGAATTTGATTAATTCATTCTGGAGATCCCAAAAAATAAAAAATATATACTTTCTTACTACGTTTATTTATATGTAATAATAAAAATACATATATACACAGTCTTGCATTTTTATTAGTCATGTTTTTTGCATTTGTGGGGGTTAAAGAATCTGTCTAATGTCGATTGCTTTTCCCTCTTCTTCAAGATTATCCAGAAGTAATTAATAGCATTATAATTGTAGAGATCCCCAAGCCTATTAACCTCAACCTGGTTTGTATGTCATTATAAGACCGTTGATCTGACATCTCCCTCTTCTTCAAAAGATCTTTAATTAATAGCAGATATCAGCATTAATCATCTTTTTCATAATAAAACATATCTCGCTGAGTTTCTTGGTGTTCTTCATTCAAGAGTTCTTGGCATTCTTCTGTCGTCAGATCCATTTCAGGTTCCATTATGAGTACAGTGACCATACGTCCTTTATTTAAGAGGACAGTCCTTTATTTCACTGCTCTGTCCTTTAACTTTATTTATTTTCTAAAATAAGCATTTTGTCCTTTATTTTGTAAAGTTCATGCAAAGTTTAAAAAAAATTTTTTTAATAATATATTGAACAAATTAGTTTTGTATACGCCATCATGACCAGTGTTGCATTGCTACATAGAGCGCAGTAGTGCAGTGTGTCGCCAACCAAACGGCCTACTGACAGTACCAAGGGTTTCTTCCTATTGTTATTAGAAAAGTGGTTTTAGCATTAGAAAAATCAGAAAATATACAAGCCAAAAAATGCAATGATGCTGTGTACACATTTTATCAAACGTGCATAGATTATCTAAATAATTGGGACATGTTTTTTTTTTATTGAAATAGAGGTGTCTGAATGGATCACATTATGTGAAATCCCTTTGTGGGCGAAAGTAGAGAAAAGCTATATCTTTATTTTGAATCATTGGTCCGTAAATATACTCGATGGTGAATTATTTGATGAAGTTTCATGTGTAAAAAAATATGTCACAAACAAAAAGGTCGAAGAATGATGACAAAATAACCAGCCCTGCCATCAAAGGTGGATTGAGATTTTTGAACATTTTACAGCAAAAGAAATTGTTTTCAAAAACATTTGTAAAATCGTAGAATTTTCTTTGTCTCCCTGGATCTAATGCCCCCGTTGAATGAATATTTTCATTGGTGAATAATAGGTGGACGAATGAAAAAACTGATTTAAAAGTAAGCAAATTAGAAGCATGTATTTCCATCAAATACAACTTTCAAATGAACTGTATGGAATTTTATGACTTTAAAGCGTGAAACAGCGCTATAAAAAAAAAATTAATTCTACTGAAAAGTATCAAAATTAATGTTATTTAAATTTTTACAATGTGTGTATGTGTAATANCATCTTTATAATGCCTCAAAGGAAATTTGAGTTGAGGCCTCAAAAAAAAACTTAAAAAAGATGTTGATATATTTTATAGGCAAAGTTTTATTTATATCTTAACTTATATACAATAAAGAAATTTGGTAAGAAGATAGATTTCAAATTAATATAATCAATAAATCCTAATGAAATTCAAATTAAGAGTCTAATTAATAATATAAAAGTTTACCTTCATAAATTCCGGGAATTAAATCAGAGTGATTTTTACTGGCTAACTGAATAGTATCCAGTGTATCTGACTGGATATCTTCACTACTAATGTAAGATAAAAAACAGTCTCCAATTTTCAAATTATTTATTTTATATTTATCACCTTCAATCTGAAAAATGTTAAGATTAATTAATAATTGAAAAATTTTAAATATTAAAAATAATAAATTATATATCATATAGTGCATGACCAAAATGATAAAAGCTAAAAAGACTTCAGTTTTGATTCTTACACAGTAACTAATACAGAACATTTGTTATAACTAGCTGTAATAAATTCCACATTTTTTAATATTTAATTTTAGCCTGTAAATAAAAAATGTTAGCAAAAAATTTAATGAAAAGTAACAGGATCTATGAAGTATAACATACTACAGGGAAAGTGTCTGAAAATTTATTATGCAGTGAGAAATTTGTAATGAAATTAAAGTCATATGTACAGCATTGCTTAGAAGACATGTAAGTTGTATGTTCCATGTTTCTACTTTGTGGTAGATAGCATTAGTGTTTGCTTACAAACATTATGATTTTTGAACTACAGTTTTCAAAAGACTTCTTTGCCAATCACATAATCTCACCTGGGATCTTACCAGATGCCCAAAATCTGTTCTCATCCTTTGTTATGAAGCACAACTAATCATGTTTCTGTCAAGAGGTGACTTTTCTGATGGTGGATGGTCCTCAGAAAGTCTCATGGGAGGTTATTCTGACATATTGATCCCAATATTTTTCCCAAGCAAGCTGCTCTGTCCACAGCCTCATTGATAGCTATCTGCAAGTGACTCACGGTCTAAAAGAAGGCAAATAGGAGACAAGGAGGTAACTTGGGCTGCCAGATTGATTATCAAGGAAGGTGGTGATGAAGATTTTCGGGTCAATGTTGTGAGAACTGAATGATTGTCTGTAATTATGACTGCTGGCCTGCTGTGTCATTTCCCCAACTGGAGAGTTCTGTATATTCCCAGTGTTTTCACTATATATGTGCTGCATTTGGGATCAACCTCCATTACTTCATTGAAATTGGTGTGAGGGATAACAATGCCCTGAACCATGCAAACTAGAGACTCAATTGCAATTATCACTAACATCGACCAGTTTGGCTATCTCCTTTCCATTGCATTGAAATAATGAAGCCAGAACATTCAAGAAGTTTGCCCACCTGAGGTGGGCAAACTTCCTGCCAGTATTTGCGCATATATGGCTTGCGACAGACGAGAGACAGTGACCAGAATATGGCCCTTGGTCTTCAATTCGTGAGCGAGGTGGTAATATAGATTGTACGTCAATTTGACGTCATTTTTTCAACTTTATTGTCAAACATGAATGACGTTAAAGTTTGCACCTTCTGGAGAAAACGAGCATGAATCTGTTATTAGTAATTATACCTTTAATGAATTATCCGGAATAACTTCAACAAACTTTCTTATATTTTCTTCTTTCTGTAATCGTTCTGGATGATTGTTAACTTCGTCGTTTCCACTAGACAGCCATTCATTAATTTCTCCTTCAGGTTTTCTAAAATTAAACTTAAATTCCATTTTCCTTAATAAATTTCAAACTTGCAGAAATAATCCCATTTTCGCTCAAGTTATTAGCGCCATCTACAAACAATGACATATAATCTTGAAATTTAAAAAAATTGAAGGAAACAATAGGAAAAATAAATATTTAAAAAATACTTAGAAATGATTTTTTTCGAAAAAGAAAATTGTGGACTTTATGGTACAATTATTAATCTTATAATCTAACTCTATTAATTATAATCTTATAATAAGAACTTTATGGTACAATTACAGTATAAATCTTAGCCTAGGGCCGATTTCCTGGTAAAGTGGCTTTTCCAACCTTATTAAAGCCATTTTACCAGCTGATAGCCTACTGCTCTGGAGAACCCGAGATTGCATCCGGACGTGTCGAAAACGCCCCAGGAATTTTTCGGGATATGTCGGGCTCCGTCCCTTACCACCCGGCCGCCCCGTTGTGGGCTTGGCCGAACCCATAATGGATTTGCTAAAAGAGGTCCTCTTAGTGCCCACAAGGCGGAAAGAGTTTTAAAAAACCTGGAAAAGCAAAACTAAAGAATGATGTTTTCCGATTCCGTTCTTCATTACCCGACGTCTCATTTGTGCCTGATTATGTTTTATTGTATAAACCTTTGTACACGTATCCTAAATATTTCAATACAATCGGTAAATCTGTAATAATTTTGCTGATAAATCTGTTATAATTGGACTGAAGAGGAGCATTAAGCCTGAAATGCATATTCTTTCCTATCAATAAACCAACCTTTTTCCACTAAAACTGTTCTTGTGTGATTTGTTCTCAACGGCAACCTTATTCTAAGAAAATGCATATAGTAAAGAGAACAGCAAGCAACCAAGATTAAATTATCACACACAAATTATTCACAATTGGCCACGGCTGAGGCCTCACCTTCTTCAGTTGTCTCAACTTACTACTCATTACTATTATTTTTGTTCTATATCTGCATCTTTATAATGCCTCAAAGGAAATTTGAGTTGAGGCCTCAAAAAAAAACTTAAAAAAGATGTTGATATATTTTATAGGCAAAGTTTTATTTATATCTTAACTTATATACAATAAAGAAATTTGGTAAGAAGATA